GACTCTTTATTTTTCCAAGCAGATATTCTCCAGGAACTAGTCCCTCCTGACAACATGTCCAAACAAGACAGACTATTCTAAGGAATATTTTGGCCATACTTCCAAGACAGATTTGTTTGTTTTTCTGGCTGTTCATGGAACTTCCAATATTTTTCACCACTGACATAATTCAAATGTATCAATTTTCCTATGTTCTTCCTTATTCATTGCCAAACTTTCACATGCATATGTGTCAATTGAAAATACCATGGCAAGGGTCAGTTCTCAAAGTAATATCTTTGATCTTTAACATTTTAGAGTGGTCTTTTGCAGCAAATTTACCTAATGCAATATGTCCTTTGGTTTATTGATTGTTGCTGCCAATGAGCATTGTTTGTGGATCAAAGCAAAATGAAGTCTTTTGACAACTTCAATCTTTTCTCCATTTATCATGATGTTATTTATTGTTACAGTGGTAAGGATTTTTGTTTTTTTTACACTAAGGTGCAACACATACTCAAGATTGTAGCCTTTGATCTTCATCAGTAAGCAGTTTAAGTCCTCTTCCCTCTCAGCAAGCAAGTTTATGTCATCTGCATATCAAAGGTTGTTAATGAGTCTTCCTCTAGTCCTGCTGCTACATTTTTCTTCATATAGTCCAAATTCTGGGATTATTTGCTCAGCATACACACTGAATGAGTGTGGTGAAAGGATACAACTCTGATGCACACCTTTTCTGATTTTAAACGTCTCAGTATCCACTTGTTCTGTTCAAATGACTGCCTCTTGGTTTATGCACAGGCTCTAAATGAGCACAATTAAGAGTCTGGAATACCCATTCTTTGAAATGATATCCATAGTATGTTATGATCCACACATTCAAATGCCTTTGCATAATCAATAAAACACAACAAAACACCAGTTCAGCAGTTCGAAACAACCAGCTGCTCCATGGGAGAAAGATGAGGCTTTCTGCTCCCGTTAAAGATTTACAGCCTTGGAAACCCTGTTCAGGGTCACTGTGGGTCAGAACCAACTCAATGGCACTTAACAACAACAACAAAAAACATCTTTTTGGTATTCTCTGCTTTCAGCTAAGTTCCACCTGACATCAACAGTGACATCCCTAGTTTCATGTCCTTTTTATGAATTCCACTTGAATTTCTAGCAGCTTTTTGTTGCTTTACTCCTGCAACTGTTTTTTAATTATCTTAAACAGATTTTGGAGTCATAGTGTGGCTCTGTAGGATCAGCACTGGACTACTAACCACAAGGTTAGATGTTCAAACCCACCAGTCACTCCTTGGAAATGTTGTACAAGGTTGCTATGAATCAGAACAACTTGACATCACTTAACAACAACAAGAAAATTTTATTTGCTTGTGATATTAATGATATTGTTTGATCATTTCCTCCTTCTCCCAATTAGTTGATAAAATAACTGTCTTCCAAATTTTTTGGCTGCATCAGTTTGTTGAAACATCCCATTTGTGTTTTCTTCAATTCCTTGACCTTTGATATTTTTTGATTTTGTTTTTTCCCAATGTTTTGGTGTTTTTTGTTTTTGTTTTTTCAGGACAGCTTTGACTACTTATTTCAATACTATTAGTTCTTGATCACATGACCTCTTTTAGTTATGGGACATTGACCAATGCTTTTTGGTACAGTGACTCTGTGTATTCTATTCATCTTCCTTTGATGTATACCATCTCATTCAATATTTTGCCCATAGAATTCAATATGGCATCTCAAGGTTTGAATTTTTCTTCAGTTCTTTCTCACTCTTTCCTGCCTCCTGAGCTTTATTTTGATATTATTATTCATTTTATAGGCCTGTCTATTGTTTGGCTATAAGGCAATCTCTGGAAGTGGGTTCAGTTCTAGGTGTGAAGTGTGTCTAAGGGCCAAAGACTCAGTAGCTTCACAAGACTCTAGCAGACCAGTAAGTCTGGTCTTTTTTTATGATTTGAATTTTATGCTACCTTTCCTTTCTTTCCATTTTGTCCAGGAACTTCTATTGTGAGTGATCAGAGAAGTTGATAGTGGTAGCCAGGCACCTTCTATTTCATCTCATCTCAGAGTAGTGTATGTGGTTAGCATGATCTTTTCATACAAACCACAGTGGAGGCTGTGGTTTGCATGGTCTTTTCATTCTATGGACTAATTATTTCTTTGAGTCTTTGATTTTCTTACTCTTCTTTGCTTCAGATGGGGAGAGACCAATAATTGTATCATAGAAGATGCCCACTTTCAAGTTTTTAAGGCCCCACTGTATTTTTTAAGTTTTTGAAGATTAGTGTTCTAGTTCTCTAACTGCCTGATGTCTCCTAGATAAATCCTGGGTCATAGCTGATTAAAAGGAACTTTAAGGTGCTTTCTAAATTAAAAGAGTGATGCTGTTGGTGCTGTAGGATAAACACTAGACTGTTGATCAGAGGGTTGGAGGTTTGAACCCATCAACTACTATGTGGGAGAAATATAAAGCTTTCTGCTCCTGTAAAGTTTTACAGCCTCAGAAACCAAATACAGGCTTGTGGAACTCATAGGACATTATCATTGTTACCACATGCAAGTAAAATTTTGCTAAAGATAATTTTTAAATGACTATAATGATACATTGAAAAGGAACTGTCAGAGGTTCAAGCCGAACTCAGACAAGGACGTGGAACCATAGATATCATTGCTGACATCAGATAGATATTGGTGAAAAGCAGAGAATACCGGTGTTTTATGCGAAGTCTTTCAACTGTGTGGATCATGACAAGTTATGGGCAACACTGTGGAGAATATTTACTCTGGACCACTTAATCTTGCTCATAAAGACCTGCACGTAGAACAAGAGGTAGTTGTTCAAACAGAACAAGGGGCCACTGATTTAAAATCAGGAATGTTGTGTGTCATGGTTGTAATCTTCAACAATATTTATTCAATCAGTATGCTTAGCAAATAATTCAAGAAGCTAGATTATATGAGGAAGAACATGGCATCAGGATTGGAGGAAGACTCATTAATAACTTGTTATATGCAGATAATAACAGCCTTGCTTGCTGAGAGCAACGAGGACTTAAAATGCTTACTGATGAAGATCAAAGACTATCTTTGAGTATGGGTTGTATCTCAATGTAAAGAAAGCAAAAATTCTTACCACTGGAGCAATAAATAACATCATGATAAATGGAGAAAAGATTGGAGTTGTCAAAGACTTAATTTCACTTGCATCCACCATCAATGCTCAAGGAATTAAGTGATGTATTGCTTTAGGTAAATCTGCTGCATAAAACCTCCTTGAAGTATTTTATGCAGCATATCAAAACAAAGTTGTCAGTGTGAGAGCTAAGATACATCTGACTCAAACCATGGTAATTTCAACAGGCTCATATGCTGTGAAAGTTGGACAATGAATAGGAAGACTGTAGAAGAGTTGATGCATTTGAGTTATGGTATTGGAGAAGACTATTAAAGATACCATGGACTGCCAGAAGAGCAAACCTATCTGTGTTGGAAGAAATATAATAGTGCTCCTTAGAAGTCAAGATGAATAAAATTTGTTTCTCATATTTTGAACATATGAAGGGACTAGTCTCTGGAGAAGGGCATCATGGTTGGTAAAGTGAAGGTACAGCAAAAAAAGAGGGGTACCCCTAATGAAACAGATTGGCACAATGGCAGCAACAACAGGCTTGGGTGTAGTAGCATTTATGAAGATGGCACAGGACCAGGCTGTGTTGTGTTCTGTTGTACTTAGGGCTTCTATGAGTCAGATCTATTTGATAGCACTTAACAGTAACAGTGAGTCAGAAGCAACTCAACAGCACTTAACAACAACAATGACTTTTCTGGAATCCTATGTAATTTGTCCCTTCATTAAAATCTTCTCAAGTTATTTGAGGAGTGTGCCACCTCTCTTCTACTGGGGCTTTGATACAGCTGTAGAAAGTTGTTTAGAGCTGGATGGAATGTCAGGCTGAAAAACTTTTAGGATAATTATTCATGCCTTAAAAATGTTTTGGGTGATTGCTATATGTCAAGCATGATTTTGAGAGATGGAGATTCAATAGAGAACAATTCAGAAAATCAACCAAACCAAAGTTTTGTGCTCATATACTTTACATTTTAATGAGGCAACAAGGATATAGACTTACATCAACCTCCTGTTTACTGTTCAATTGTAAAGCAATCAAATCCCAGAAATGTAGTTGTTGAGTTGCTTCCATTTTTCATAAGGACTTCTATCCAGAACTTTTGCTTCTGCTAGTTCCTGTTGCTCATCTTATGATTGCACTGTCCACTACCCTCCCATCAGGAAATTTAAAAGGGACATTAACGATGAAAAATTTAACTTTAGTATCTGTGTGTGATATAAGCTTTGTTGAGAAGAAGACTGAAATTCTGAACTGAAATGAAGCTTTTCAATTTTTCTAGACTGGTCTTCCTCCTATTATAATGTAAAGATAATGAGAGTTGTTTTTCAGCTTACCAAACAACCAGAGTTAAAAGTGGATTAAAAATCTTATATTCATGATGATGAAGAGAACCAGGTCAGATAAATAGCTATGATAGGTCTTATTACAAAGCCCTGGTGTGTGGACCCTCTGTCTTTTTAGCTTGAATCATATTACAACCTTGCTGGCAGTATTTACTTAGATCATCATTGACTCATGTGAGCCTAATTCTGTGACCCAGCAAAAATAGAAAATAAATCCCAACAGGGGAATCCATGTTTCTAGCGTGACCTTGGAAGGATGAGCCAAAGGTACTGAGTAAACCATAAATCCGATTTGCAAAAAAAACAAAAACAAAAAAACACCTTGTTTATACTTTGCTCAGTGGACACTGTGAAAATCTAATATGGTTCCTGGTACATGCTATACATTTTTTCATGCTTGATTAAGTTCCTGTTTAGTAGATAGCTTACAGAGGAACAGAGTAAAACTACTTTATATTCGACTTTACCTCCTGTTTTGTTCTTCATTGCTTCATTGTTCTCTTTTAAAGTTGGTTTTACTCTTCTTTCTTTTCAGGCTCAGTTTATGAAATGTTTGGAAATGAATGCTGTTTGTCAACAGGAGAAGTGATTAAAATTATCGGACTCAAAATTAAAAAGATTATAGCCGAAATTTGTGAGCATATTGAAGGTTGTCACTCTTCGCAGTCCTTTGAACTACCTATGAATTTTCCAGGTACAGTATATTGCACCTATTTCTTATTTATAAAACTATATTGTTAATAGTTACATACATCTATGGAATCCCTACATGGAGCCACTGGTTAAACACTTGGCTACTAATTAATTGAAAGGTTGACAGGTTGAATTCATCCTGAAACAACTTGGAAGAAAGGCAGGTGATCTACTTCCAAAAGACCACAGCCATTGAAAGCTCAGTGGAAGGTAGTTTTATTCTGGAATACATGGGCCATCATGAGTTGAAATCAACTCAACAGAAACTGATTTATTAGTGTGTCAGGAAAAGTTTTTCAGAGGATATTATATTTTAAAATAGAATTGGAGAATGAAAAGAAATCAATGATATTGAGAAGAAGAATCTTCCAAATCCTCTAATACTTTACTCCTTCAATTGAAACCCTACTTATTGTTTAATTCTTTCTATTCTTCCTTCACCTCAGTCCTTTATAGAGACAGTTCTTAGACTTGGTGGCACATTGAAATCAAGTAAGACGCCTTTAAAAATTCTGATTTGGGGACACTTGCCCAAAATATTCTGATTTATTTTGGCTGGGTAAATTCTGGTCATCAAGTTTTTTGAGCTTCCAAGGTAATTCTAGTAAACAGTCATGGCTGAGAATCAGTTTTATATGTACTTTTCTAAGTACTCTGAATGGATGTAGCAACTTCCTTTCTGAATCACTAAAGTTTTTCACACCTTTTTCATTGCATTTGTCACAGTTTGCATGTAATTGAAATTATTTGTATGTTTAGCTTACCAACACCAGCTGCCCAACAGATCAGGAGGTTGCTGAGGGCAGGATCAGAATCTCATTCACTTCTATAATCCTCACAGTTTCTAGGAGAAAATGTACACAATAAATATTTAGCAAATTAAAATGACTTGAACCTTCTGGTATTAGTAATGTTTCTTATTAAGGTATTTAAGACACTTGGTTTTTGGCTAAGTGGTTAAGTTGAGGAGTTGCTATTTAGAGCATCATTTTGAGCTTTTGGTGGCATGATAAAAGTGCATCATTTGAGCAGCAATTTGAAAGGCTTGTCCTATGGTGTGGCACTGGGGGTTAATGCGCTGGACTGTAAGGTCTGTTTGAACTACCAGGTCGGCTGTTCAAGCTCACCAGTCACTCCTTGGAAATGCTATACAGGGTCACTATGAGTCGGAACCGACTCTACTGCACTGAACAACAACAACTATCCTATTGTAAGGATAAGAATTAAATGGAGTGGGATAATGATTGCTTTCCTTCTAAAAGGACCCCTGGATTGTGATGCAATGATTTTAGAATTAGGAATAATGCTTATATACCAGCACTAGGAAGAAAGGAGGATTAAAAAAAAATCAAGGTGACAATATTGTTTCTAATGCTCAAGAACAAAAGCTCTTTATTCATACTATATTTAAATTTTTGATCCTAAAATTCCAATTCAATTGTAAACTCAACAAGGCTAATATTGCTTCAAAACATCTTTCCTTATTTGTGAATTCCTCAAATTTCCTTCTGTTATTGATTTCTAATTTCACTACATTGTGGCTGGAGAACATACATTATGTAATTTTAATCTTTTTAAATTTTAGTTTTGCTTTATGACCTAATATATGGTGTGGCATTATATAAAAATACTCGACTGCAACATTGGTTTGAACTGCAAGATTGGCAATAAAAACCTACCAGTCACTCTTTACAACCCTGTACAGGGTCACTATGAGTTGGAACCAACTCTACAACATCAACAACATATGATCTACATTGAAGAATGCGCCATATCCTCTCTCCTGGAGAAAGCTTCATGTGCAATTGAGAAGAATGTGTATTTTGATGCTAGGTGAAATGTTTTAGGCCTAGTAGGTGTATAGTGTTGTTCAAATCTTCTGTTTTTTTTTCTGGTCTGTTTAGTTATTCTACCCATTAATCAAAGTAAAGTATTGAAGTCTTTACCTATTACTGCTTCATTGTCTATTTCTCCCATAAATTCTGAAAGCTTTTCTTTCTTTATGTTGTTGTTGTTAAGTGCTGTTGAGTCAGTTCTGACCCATAGTGACCATGTATAGCGTTTCCAAGGAGCAACTGATGAGCTTGAACCACCGACCTTGCAGTTCAAACCGACTTTGCAATCCAGTGCATTAACCCACAGCGCCACACCAGGACTTATGTATGAGAAGGCCTTAAAAGGTTTATGGAAATATTCCACTCTTTTAACTCAAATTTCCCATAAAGTTTTGGAGTCCCATCCTAATTGGGGGCTCCGTTGTTAGGTGTATAAGGGATTCGAGCCAGTTTGAAATGGATCTGTCATGGACCCTGAAAACAATGGTAGTGTGTATATTACATAGCAACCAAATCCCTTGTGAATGAATTTTGACCTGAAACAGTAGGAAGTAGGCAGCAGTGCCCTGCTTAAAGATGGTGGCCAACCTCATCAATTTGAACATGTGTTGTGGTACTATTGAAGCAGGAAGACTGTGGCCTTCTTCCTAATGTGTCAGTATTCTATGCATACTTAAGAGATTGGGATGCTATGCAACACATACCCTACCCTTGTTTTCTTGGCCATTACAAATGATTCAAAGTTCTTATATTTATAATTGTTTTATCTTCTTGATAAATATACACTTATAGCATTAGTCTTGTACCACTAGCAGTTTTATCTTAAATTCAATTTTATCTTAAATGTTTGACATTTGAATTGTACTCCAGCTTTCTTTTGGTTATTATTTTCATGGTATATCTTTTTCTATTCTTTTACTTTCAGCGTATTTGTGACTTTGGATCTAAAGTATATCTTTATAGATAGAACATAGATGATTTAAAAAATATACTCTGTAAATTTTTAAACATTTAACTCGTCTTTAATGAGTTTATGCTTAGTGTAATTAGGAGTCAAATCTGCTATTTTTTTCTATATGATATATATAGATATCTGTATTTTTTGTTCCTCTACTCCCCCATTTTTGTTTTACATTGTGTGATATTTTCTAGTGTATAATTTTACCTTCTTTTTAATTCCTTTCTTGTTTTATTTAATGTTTTTTTTTATGTTCAGTATTTTAAAAATAGCTATCCAGGGTACGAAAAGTAACATCTTAATTTAATAATAATCTAGTTTGGATAAGGGGATACTGCAGGTGGAAAATCAGAAAAAGTGTCTGTCATGGTTGTAGCCGATCACCATAATTTGTTCAATTTGCATGTGGAGCCAATAATCAGAGAAGCTGGAGTATATGAAGAAGACTGTGGCATTAGCATTGAGAGAAGACTTAGGAACAACTTATGATATGGAGGTGACATGACTCTGCTCACTGAAAGTGAAAAGGATTTGATGCACTTACTGATGAAGATAAAAAAATACAGCCTCCAGTATGTATTATACCTCAAAATAATGAAAACAAAAATCCTCACAATTGAACCAAAAAACATCATAATGATAAATAGAGAAAAGATTGAAGTTGTCAAAGATTTTTACTTTATTTGGATCCACTGGTGATCAATGTTCATGGAAGCAGAATTCAAAAAATCAAAAGATATATCATGTTGGGCACATTGACTGCCAAAGATCTCTTTAAAGAATTAAAATGCAAAGCTATCTTATTGAGAACTAAAATGTGCCTGAATTAAATGGTGTTTTCAATGGCCTCATATGCATGTGAAAACTGGACAATGAATAAGGAAGACCAAAGAATAATTGATGCCTTTGAATTTTGTTTTGGTGACAGTACCATGAACTCCCAAAAGAACAAACAAATCTGTCTTGGAAAAAGTACAGACAGAATGCTCCTTAGAAGCCAGAATAGGGAGACATCATCTTATGTACTTTTGACATGTTATCAGGAGAGGCCAGTCCCTTAAAACAACATCATTCTTGGTAAAATAGTGGGTCAACGAAAAAGAGGAAGGCCTGCAAGGCAATGGATTGACACAGAGTTTATAATAATGGAATCAAGCATAATAATTGTGAGGACTGTGCAGTGTTTAGTTCTGTTGTGCACAGAGTGTCTATGAGTTGGAGCACCTAACAAAAGGAGCAAGTTTGGATTAATACAAATCTGGGTTCAATCCAGTACAAAGTTTTGTTCCTATGGCCCCATTCTCATCCTTTCCTCTGTGCTATTAATAACACACAAATTACATATTGTACAGTGTATGCCCACCCAAACAGATTTATAATAATTGTTTTGTACAATTATCTTTTAAATCAGATAGAGGGGGATGAGGAAAATCAAACACAAATGCATTTGTACTGTGTTTAATATTTATCTATGTAGTAATCTTTACTGGAGGTATGTGTTTCTTCCTGTGGGATTAAGTTACTGTCTAGCATCCTTTCAGTTCATCCTTTGGTATTTCCTGTTATACTGGTGTTGTAGTGATGAATCCTCTCAGTTTTTCTTTATCTGGAAATGTTTTTTTTCCTCCTTGAATATTGAAGGATGGCTTTGATGCATATAGAATTCTTTGTTGATAGTGTTCTTATAGCAATTTTAATATGGTCTCTATAGTTTCTGATAAGAAATTAACATCTAATTTTATTTAGGAAAATTTGCACTTAATAAGTTGCTTTTCTTACTGTTTTCAGATTGTCTATTTGTATTTGGTTTGTAGCAGTTTGATTTTTCTAAATATGAATCTCTTTGCAATTGCAAATTCTACTTGGAATTTGTTTAGTATCTTGAATGTATAGGTTAATTATTTCAACAATTTGGCAAGTTTTTTACTACAATTTTAAAAAATGTATTTGTTTTGACCCATTCTGTTTCTCTCTTTCTAGACCTCCCTTTATGTGCATGTTGGGCAATTGTGTCATGCAGATCACATTTCCTCACATTTTTTTGTTTTTCAATTCCTTTTACTTTCTGTTTCTCAGTTTGGAAAATCTCAAGTAAGTTATCTTAAAATTTGCATTTCTCTCTTTTACCCGCTCAGATTTTCTATTGAGCAATTAGAATGAATTTTCCATTTCAGTTTTTGATCTTTTCTATAATTTCTATTTTTTATC